TCATTTTTATTAAATGGTTAATATAGATATTTTAAGAAAAATAGCATTTATTTATTTAGCTCTTATATTAATACATCAAGTAGTATTATTAATACAATCATTTGGAAGGTTAGTGACATTTTTTTTATATAATTAAATTTAGATGAGTAGAGTTGCGGGGACAGGCTCAAAAAGCACAAATCATCCACCAACAAAGTTTTCACATCAGTACCGAAATCCAAATTCATGATCTTATAGATTATGATCTGATTCTTTATCAATTGGATTAACTCTTGTTAGTAAGATTAGTGATATTTGTTTTTAAGGTGTGATTTCCAGCACAGAGGCTTTACCGTGTTGGGCTTTCCCTTAGCCCACGATGAACCAAGCACTCTGGACTCGTATGCTTATGAACCTAAATGTCATTTCCAGTTGCCGATCTGGAAAATCAACGTGCTCATCATGCTCCCATGTTCAACGCAACACGACAACCATAAATGACACTCTTTAATTTATAATATTCCAAATTCATGACAAATCACACCGTATTATTACTGCAACTTCCTATTCCTAATCCCTCAAACATATACTCCTAGATCCTATTTTGTATGAAGCATTAAAGATAAGAGATAGGAATTAGGATTGCAATTAAAAAAAATTATTAAAAAGTCTTTAGTATGAATAATTACTTGTTATATGGGATTAAACAAACCCATGGAAGTGAGATTGGGGAATACTACTTCTCCCCATAGTATTCTCCAATGACACATGTATGGGTCTGTTTAATCCCATGTAATAAGTAATCTCTCATGCTAAATACTATTTTCTCAATCTCAATCTCAATCTCAATCTCAATCTCAATCCCTATCCCTCATTTTTTAATGTTTTGTATCAAACGCTACCCTAATCCCTCAAACATACAATCCATCCCATCACCCGTATTTCATATTATAATGATCATTGTAGGATATCTATACATTTGGTATACTCTAAAGATACCCTTCATACAATATTGATTATCTAACACCCTAAAAACTAACTGTTGAAGTTGGGAAACTTTGAGACTTATAAAGGGTCCTCCTTATATTCAAGCTAATTCTTTCAATGTCAGACTCATGACAATACACTCCTCTCAAGAGCTAACTTCTTGATGACCCCAAACTATGGTACTTCACTCAATCTCATGCCGGTTAACCCTTTTATTTGGTCAAAACTCTTCAGAAGTAGTCCTTTCTAGTTGGCCAATGATCACATGTTTTTAGGAAAAATAACATACATTAAAAGCTAGTTATCAGAGTTGAGAAATTTAAGACCTGACAACACCTCTTGATCATTTAAGGCAACTCATCACAATGAGACTCATGACACATGTACAAAAGACCTTAAAACGTTCTAATTTGTGTTCCCCCGAAGGGTGTTTTAGGTCTTTTCCTAGTATCGTACCGTGATTGCTGACAATTATATGTATTATTTATTCGCTCTATTAATCAAATCGGATATAATTTGTCTTTCTTGATTAATGTCAAAATCAACTAGTCGCTTTATTATGTATGAAATGATCTTCTATATATACACTGATTTCAAATTATTCAAACAGTATTATTTGATTATACGCAAGTAGCATTGTACTCCCATTTATATATATATATATATATAGAGAGAGAGAGAGAGAGAGAGAGAGGAATTGGTCCCTATATGTGTCGGATGCAAATTAGTAACAGCATGCCCTGTACCATACAACATATAAAATTAATTTCGAGGGAGGTTTATAGTTATCATACTAGTATAAATTATTGAGAAAAGAAAAAAAAAGGAATCATTAGTGGTTGTGTGTGCATAATTATAACAAACAGCAAGCATTGAAGACGCTATATAGTTAATTAGAGGCATCTCATGCATACACACATACATATATATATGTGACTTGTCTGATTGTTCAATGTTGTATTTGAGGCAGTGGTTATCGGTCAGCTTGAAGTTGACGACAAGTCTGGGATTCTTGTCCGCACAAAAGAAACCATTAACACAAACTGTTGCCGAGAGGCCAAGACTATATAATTTGTTTTGATTTACAATGTCAATTACATATTTAATTATATATGCTTCCATGCATAGTTTCTCAAACAAACTAGACATTTACAAAAAAATTAAGAAGCATTCAGCATCCTAAAATATTTTTTTAAGTGCATCTAATAGCCTAAAGTATTTTGTAATGTATCCAATATCCTGAAATATTTTTCTAAGTGTATAGAGCACCACAAAATATTTTAGAATACTGGATGTACCCGATAAAATATTTCAAGATGCTAGATGCACCTTAAACCTTTATAAAATCATAATCCCCTCTAAACTCTCTCTCTCTCTCGATCTTTTCTTCTCTTCTTCTGTTTTTTCTTTTTTTTTGGGGACAACACACAATACCAGAACTCCATACTATCAGCGAAATTATTGGCTCTTATATGCGTAAGGTGGGAATGATTGAATGAGGTGGCTAGCTAAGTATATAGGTGTCAACCGACGATAGGATTAGAATAATTCAGAAAAACAGATGAATATAATTTCCTCATTTAATTTTGGTCTATGAGTAAAAATATTAAACAAACATATCTGAGTGTGATTCATATATGCTTTGATTATATGGGATCCATACTTTGAGATACATAAATTATTTTAAATGAATTAGGTTGATGCGAGGGAATGGCCGTACCATGGTTGGATAGTTAAAAAGAAATTTAGTCAACATTAACGCATATATAACTTAGGGGGTGTTTGGATGAAACCAAACCATGGTTTAGAGAATAGCTTTTGGAGAATAGATTTTGTGAAAAAGTGATTCTGAGAAGTGAGAGTATTTGGATAGTTATTATCAGAAGCACTTTTTATATATACAAATCACTAAAAAACATAAGTTAATATGATAATTACATAAAAGATAGATTTTATGATATATTTTAATTTGAAAGAATAAAATTGTTAATAATATATGTTTTACCAACATAATTAATAATACATAATATAATATAATTAATAAATAAGTAATATGTGTATATATTTTATAAGATATAAGATTAAATATGTTTATAAAAAAAATTGAGGGATGTTAAAGTCATATTATTGTTGAGATCTATTCTAACAGGCACAATCAAACTCTCCAATTTGAGCCAGAAGCAGAATGAATTTACTTCTCCTGAAACCATGGTTTTAGGCTTGAAAACTATAATTTTGGCTCAAACCATGGTTTCGGATTATTTGTCTAACATTGATGTTGTTTGGATGACATCCCATCCAAACCATGATTTTGGGGGCACCCAAACACGCCCTTGGTTGATCCAAAAGTTATTGAAACTCACAAAAAGAACTAAGGAAATATATAATGTATCAAACTATCGATACTTTGTCTTGCTAAAAATTAGTATTAGTCGTTAAATGAGAATATTTCACTATCTTGATTACAATTTCAGCCAACCAAATTCTTATGTGTGTTAGCGGCCCAAAAATTAAAAAATAAAAAATAAAATTTCAGCCAACCAAATTCTTATGCGTGTTAGCGGCCCAAATATTAAAAATTCTTGTGTGCGAACGCCCCTATGTGAAAATTCAAGCATGCCCTAAACTAATTAAGTTTATAACCCCGTTTAGTCACGTTTATACGTGAATACACACACACATATATAAGCGGATTATGAGTATTATTAGTGTAATTTGGTTTCCAATGATAAAATATAAAGGGGAGAGAATTACTCCATTTTACTGTTAAAATTGTGGAATTAAACCCGAGTCAAGAATAACAAGTCTTATATTAAATTAAATTAAATTTATATTCTCAAAATCTACCCAAAAAAAAAGAAAGAGAAATTCTCTAATACCGTGTGCTCTTTTCAGTCCAAACATAAAGGGGATCTAGGAGTATTGCAAGAAGTAATTTTATTTGATTGGGTAAAAGACATGATGATTTGCAGAAGATTGTAAGTTTAATGGAGATATTGACTGTGATTTAAAAACAAGATTAATTAAAATACGGTGATGGGCTGCGTATTATTTTGTCCAATGAGGGAGAAGGTGCCTTAAGCTGTGTCTCACGCTACAAAATGGTATGCGTACGTTGATAATTGGGCCCCACTACGAAAAAGGACGTGCTCCCCACCTGGCCACGCGCGCGCGACCCCACAGAGGAGAAAACCCTAATTTCCGAGGCTCCTCTCTAAAAGCAGAGCTTCTTGTGTTCGCATTATAATACCAGCGAGACCAAACATTTAAAAAAACTCTTTAAAAAAAAAAGTAAAAGAAAAAAGTGAAACATCAAAATATGAATTTGTTAGCTACTTAGCTTCCCAAATCACAACAGAGGTTCCCCCAGAAATCAAGTGAAGCATTTCTCCGCAGTTTTTGTCCAAATGGCTTTTCTTTTCCTTCTATTTCTCCATTCCATTTGCTGATTGCCACCAACTTTGATCCATTATCATATGCTTTAACTTCTCTCTCCTCTCTCTCTCCCCCCTTCCTCTTTCTGCTTTCTTATTTCTCTTTGTGCTTGATTCTTTTGAAGGGTTTCGCATCTGTTCTATGTTCCTAGATCACTGCTGAGCAGCCCGAAAGAGAGAATTCATAATTAAACAAAGGACGAGAGATCACTTGCTGATCGTCCGATGATCTTTAATCCCTTCTCTCTCTTCTCTGCGTTTGATGAAACAGCTAGCTAGCTCTTTGGTCATACCCTTGATTCCCTTGGAGAAGCTTATCAGTTGACGAATCTAATTCCCTCCTTCCTATAATTCCGTATCTCTATCTCTTCTCGTCTTCCCTCAGAGGGACAGAGAGAACTTGAGAATTAGGTTAGAAAGTCATAAATGAGTCAGAACTAGCCCTATTGATCCACATATCAACTCTGGTGTTTCATGATCTCTTTCCTTTGCCTATATTCTGAAACAAGTGAGGCAGAAAACCACCTAGCTACAAAAGCTCAAGCACTAATTTTGCTTTCTTTTTTGAATCTCTTGTGTCAGTCATATCTTCCTTTCTGAAACTTGTGTGTTTCTAGCGAAGCAAGTCTGGCTAATCCTTGGTGGACCGGTCAGGTGGGGTTGCCGGGAGTAGAGCCGGCAACCAACTCCCCCACCCTCAACAAGCGCCACACCGATCTTTCCATTAACGACAGCAGTGGCCGGAGCGGCAACCGAGAAGAAGATGAAGAAAGAGAAAACGGAGACGAACCCAAGGAGGGTGCAGTCGATGTCGGAACCCGCCGGCCCAGGGGCCGACCTCCCGGCTCCAAAAACAAACCCAAGCCACCCATCTTCGTCACCCGAGATAGTCCCAACGCCCTAAGAAGCCACGTGATGGAAGTTGCCGGTGGAACCGACGTTGCAGAGAGTGTGGCTCAATTCGCAAGGAGGCGTCAGCGTGGCGTTTGTGTTCTCAGTGGAAGCGGCTCCGTCGCCAACGTCACTCTCCGACAACCCGCTGCCCCTGGAGCTGTTGTGGCTCTCCATGGCAGGTTTGAAATTCTATCCCTAACAGGTGCGTTCTTGCCGGGACCGGCCCCTCCCGGCGCGACGGGGCTCACGGTGTATCTCGCAGGGGGACAAGGACAGGTCGTCGGTGGAAGTGTCGTCGGGTCTCTAGTAGCAGCTGGACCAGTGATGGTCATTGCTGCGACTTTTGCTAATGCGACTTACGAAAGACTACCACTTGATGACGATGATGAGGGAGCCAGTGCTGCGCCACAAGGAGGAGCAGGAGAAGGGTCACCACGGGGAATCGGTAGCAGCGGTGGCCAGTCTCTGCCACCCGGACTTCCGGATCCGTCGTCTCTGCCTTTGTACAACCTGCCGCCGAATCTGATGCCCAACGGTGGTGGAGGGCAGGTGGGGCATGAAGCTTTTGCTTGGGCTCACGGAAGGCAACCTTTCTGATAGAAAAGGGCTTTGGTGTTTGGGCAGAGTGAAGTTGATGGTGATTTGGAAGATAGAGAACAGTGGGAAAGAAATTTACAGTGTTTAGAGAGTACTAAAATAGGTGTGAACTGTGAAGATGGATGAGGTTAGAACGCTTGCTTAAGAACGTATATGATATGATGGCTACTACTATGAACTTTGTGTTTCTTTTTCTCTTTTGCTACTCTGCGTTTGATCGGAATAAGAAAGATGATCATCGGCATCTTTTGATAGGTTTCTGAATTATTTGTTACTAATCAATTATAATGCTTCTTCATCATCTGGCATTTATTTTCACCTTTACAATTCTCATGCTCGCATGTATCTTTGTTTTGTTTCCAATTATTTTTTATTATTATTATTTTACTTTATGCTCCTCCATCCTAAATATAAGACCCCTTTGTAGTGTAAATTACACTATAAAGTGGGTCTTATATTAAGACCGGAGAAGTATATTTTCTATAGATGTACTTGACCATGGCTTTACTTTATTTCTTGAAATGATCGATGGGATCATTGATTAGACTTTGAATATGATGAAGTTGAAGCTGATGATGGATGAAGGGGGCATCTTGTGGCTTAGAAATTCGGGGTTTCTTTCAACTCATCATAAGCTCTCAGAACCATTGAACCAAGGGTTATTTTGCCTACATCGTGCCTCAATGACCTTCTTCTTCGTCCAGAAATAAAAGCCAATACCGACGAATTGCCGGGTTTTGTAAGTGATTAGGGCTGAAATTTCCCAGTACTAGCTAGGGATGATCGTATATTTATTTATGCTGGTTCTAGAAATGGAAAATTTATTATATTCAATAACGAAACATCTTTTATATCCACTCCAGGGCCATCATCACTCTTCCTTAAATGTATCCAGATAGGATTCATGCATCTGCATTTAGATCACATCACTGCCATTCAAAATTCATGGCTAAGCTAAGATTGTTCAGCATCTGTGTTGTCAGACTCCGAGTCTAAAAACAAACAAGAATATATGGCGATCGCTATTAATGCTTTTCCCTGATATTTTTGGTTGGTCACTTAAAATGGATTAAGACATTCTGGTATATATATGAACTTGAGCAAACGACACTCACAGCACATGGAAACAGGAAATGAGAAAACCATTTGCGAGATGATCTCGACGAGTGAAAAAGTGACTACTTTTCTCTTTTGAATTTTTGAGACATTCGCTTTGTCGCATAGATGCTCACCTTACGAGCACACAACACAAATTGAAGTAAAATATATATATATATGACTCTGCTAAGGCATGCATGTTACATACTTTGTTGTTTGTTCCAGTCGAAGATGTCTGATGCGTTTGGAGTAGTCTCTCTCTCTCTCTCTCTCTCTCTCTCTCTCTCTCTCGTTTTTGGATGAGATCAAAGTGCAGACACTTTTGACATCCCCCACCCACGTGTTGTAGGGCTCAAAACGAGTCGCCCGAAGACAAAATCAAAAAGCATACTTCGGCAGAATGGGGGATTTCGGATTTCTCTATCTGTCCATGCCTCCATGTGTGCACCAAGGTTTCTGCACTTCACTTCTGCCACACTGACTCTGACTCTCTCTTCTCCCTAAGAATTATTATTATTATTATTATTATTTTAGTTTTCTATGTTTGATTGAAAGCATTGAGTGCTTCCAAAGGCAGTACTCTGAGAGTCACTCAGTGATAAGCCCTTGGCTACATGTCACTCGTGCAAAGTTCAGCATTTTCCCATTAAAATATGCTTCCAATTATTTTCGTCGCCCCTCTTACAATGTTATTAATATTGATTTTGATTGCCTCCTATTCTTATCTCTCTGAGTTGATTAAGGGTCATCACTTTATTAGAAAATCTAGGGGAAACGTGGCATGATAGATACTTTGGAGCTACAGAGAAACATTATCAATATATATTGACCTTTGGTGTTGGGTTCTGTGATCTGACGAGAAATATTTATATAAATATATATTTTTTCTATTCAAAAGCGCTTGGGTATTTTGTTTAATCGAATTAATCTGTTAGATTGACTTAAAGTTAAACCAATTATGACATGAAGAGCAGTATGCTATTATAACTACAACTATCTTTTTTATTCCCTTAGCCACTATTTATATACCTTTCTTCCTAAAGCTGTTGGAGAATTGAACTTTAAACTAATTACAGTTGAAGTGAGTTTAATTGGCGAAGTCGATCTTCTCACGTCAAAAATAGAGTTTGAATTTACACCCTTGAGAGTTGTATAAATTAAATGATTCTTATCTATTAGATCAACCTCCATTAATTAGATTATTTATACATATTCTCTTTTTATTAGTTTTAATTTAAGATATTCCTTTAATTCCAATTGAAATTCAAAAACAACTTTTTCAATTTTGAAAATTCTTGATTAGCATTAATATTAATCTAATTAAGCTGAACCTCATCAGTAATAATTAATTCGCCATACCTCGGATCAATTTGAAAAAGGTTGGTCCCCAAATTCTTAATTTACTAGGAAAAAGAGAGCTCTTGAGTCTTGATTGATTTCCGACGGGGCGAAGCCGATGGCCAATGGATTGTCTTCAACTAATCTTTATTAAATTAATTTGAAACTTACGGATAGGCATTAGTCAGCGCATGGCTATGATTCAAAGATTTTAATAACCTGCAAACTGGCTGTAAGTTAATTTGCTTTCTTTATTAGATATAAGTACAACTATATGCATCCTCTTTTCAAAATTATAAGACATTTTTTTACTCCTTCCATATTTAAAAATATAGGACATTTCGGTGTTTTATAAGAATGACTGTTGAAGGTTTTCCTTAATAAGTCCCTCTATCATATAAGAGTATAGACATTTGACGTCGAAAGAGTAAGTAATTTTTAATAACGTTAACTGTTTTCTTGCTGAATTTAGAACAGAGGAGTAGTAGTTATGAACTTATGGTATATCAGTTACAAGGAGTCGCAAATTAAGAGGCGAGTTTATTAAGAAAATTTTTTTTTTTGTTTCAAGTTCCAACCATTTAGATAATGAGCTTTTCTAAATAAAAAATTATTGTTGTTAACTTTTTGTTAGCATGTTTTTTTAATATTTTATGTATTGTAATTGGATAGAAAAGAAAACAAAAACCGAGAACGTTGATGCATGTACGTCTTAATTTCTCCACGCACATAACCCACTGTCAAATATTGGCAATAAGTTATCCGTCGCATGACGCAGCACATTGATCTGTATATTCTACAATTTACTCTACGCAAAAAGCAGGTGAACAATAAATGGTTTATTTAATTCATCTTATCCTGTCATGATTTAAGTATAATATTGTATATATAGTATATAGTACCTCAGGAGAACATCATCTCAGGAATGCATGTAACTGTTTTAAATACATTTCCTTCCACATATAATGGAATTGAGTCAATTGTAGTTGCATTGCATAAAGGTGTTGGGATATTATTTAAATTATTTAAAGTAATAAAAATAACCTAAAAAATGATATATTCTAACATAATATATTTAATAGCTGAGACATAATGAATGGGTAATTCGTTAAACAATTATAGCAATAAACAAAAAACGAGGCGACATGTGGGATTTTAATTAATTAATTCAGTTGAATTATTCAATTCACCCCATCCACTACTTTCACCTCATCCCAATCTTTCAAGACAAGAAAACTTGATAAAGGATTTTGTCTTTCCTCCTTTTAGCTACTAACTGTCCAGCAAGAAACCGTAAAGGAAGAGCTCATCAATCTGACCTTTACAATAGAGAATCTTTCTGTCCAACTCAGACATGCTTTGTCACTGCCCTGTACAGTTTCGCAACTTTTACATCACATACATAATTTAAATGTGTCCATAATCAAGATGGAATTGAAATACATATGATAGCTACTCACGCAATAATAACCAAACAGTAAAACGCACAAATCCATTGAACGTACTTCTCCACTTAATTTTCCTTTGAAATTAAAAAAGTCATGTCATTAAGAATATTTCAAGAACAAATTATTAAAGGATTGGAGCAGAACAGAAGGCTCATATCTAAAACAAATGAAAAGATGTAGGCGTAAGCTTGGGGCAAAAGAAGTCTTATTTCTTTCTTTTTTTCCTTTGATTTTCTAAGGAAAAAGATAAGTGGGCGATTCTTTATTTGTAGTAAACCTTGATGAGAAGTCTATATAATATCCAGGAGCAGTTTGAAAATCGCTTAGTTTTTGGTGGTTGCATGTTCCGTAGTTTTATTTGAACATAGGTTATTGTAGATTTACAGAGACCACTAACGGCAAGCCATGGCGTTATTGTTCATCATAATATTATACTCCTTCGGTCCTAATTATAAGACCCAATTGACTTATTTGAGGAGATTAAGGAAGTAAGTTAAGTTGGTTATTTATAATAAATAAGTGTTGTTATTCCTAAAATATCCTTGCTAATTAAGTATATTGGCTAAAACTATCATTATTAAAAGGATTATCTTGGAAAAAAATGCATAAATATAAAAGAGAAAATGGATTGGGTCTTATAATTAGGACCAAATAAAAAGTCAAATTGGGTCTTATAATAAGGACCGGAGGAGTATGTTTTATAAGTGGTCCTGGCCATTGTTTATTTTCCTTGGTCTCTACGGAAAGGATAAGCTCGCAAGGGTGAGTTTTTAATTTGGTATCACCATCCTCTCTTGTTTTGTTTGTAGGAGGATATGATTTATTGGGGGATAGATGGATCTGGCTAGAGACTTTCTATTCTATTACGCATATTCTTTGCTCTTTCCTCTTCTATTGGTTTATTGAAATTATGGTGTCTACTTTTAGTTTTTCTCCCCTTATGATGTTTAGTGGGAAGTGCTTGCACAAGTTTGCATACATATCTACCTTTAGATTTTGCTTATGATTAATGCAACCAACGTATGATTTAGGGAAGTCTTGTGCTTAAACAAGATCATGTGTGCAAAAAGTGTTGGACGTTTCATCCAGGCGTTTGTTTCAAAAAGGAATTATTTTAGTGACCTAAGAATTATTAAGAGTTTGATTTGAAGTTAATTTTTCAATTATGAGATTAATATAGATTATAGTGTTCAGCCTCCTATACTTCTGTTCCCTAACTTGTTCAGGATGGGTTTGCTTAATTTTGAGGGACATTCATGCAAACAAAATGAAAAGCAATATTAAGCACACAGTTCATAGAAAGAGATACACAATTAAATAAAAGCATTCCAATGGAGAATTACTAAATTTGATTTTGATGTCAATGGATTTTAATGAATCAAAGTAAAGTTCTTCCAAGACCAAATTATCGCAGTTTAAATATATATTATGGGCAAGGACGATGTTTCTCAGAGCATCGTAATTCAAAATTCAATAAATTAAAATGGTTTTCACATGATCGAGTTCATCATAAGCTATCCAAAAGTTCATGTGGTTAGCACTTGGTAATTTCCCTCTTTACTAGAAATAAAGCAAGAGTTGTGTCAGTCAAATTGTCTTTGTGAGAGCAAGGATATGTCCAAAGTTGATATTAAAGTTATAACCAATACTTTAATTAATTAATTAATTAATTGGAGAACTCATATAATGTGATGGATGAAGCCGTAGTTAAAAGGATGTTATATATATTAACCTTGAAGGGATCCAAGAGAGGCACATCGCAGCCCGTAGGCCCCATCTTCACATGGATTCACGTGTCATAGTTCCTAATCCCTTGATTATTTAATGTCAATATTGTTTGCAACTTGGACACAACACTCCAAAGCTAAAGTCACACTATGGACCCCTTTTAATCTAATAATTACATGCTCTCTCAATAATATTATAATGCACTGTATGATTCATTTGATATCTACTATCAAATTAATGAATAATATATATATATCTTTCTTAACTAAACAAAATATATACTAATTATCCCCCCCAAGAAAAAGTATACTTTAGCCTGTATATATATGTCATAATTTGATTAAGAAATTTCATTGAAAAACTTATGAATATATTTGTCATAATATATATATAGCTAGTGCCTTCCTGTGCAAGACCATTAAAAACAAAAATATAAATCTATGTAATCTATACTTTTGTTCTATTTGCCTTTCCAAGTGTAAGCATGCCACCACTTGCAACTACTTATCAATCTTTTTCTGTGAGACTATACTGTGAGGAGGCAGTATCAACTCCAATTATAACGAAAGGAATCGACGAAGCTAGCATTAATGAAATGTCCACCACCAATTAAACCCCTTTTCCATCAAAAGTAAGAGTGAGATTGATTAAATTGGAATTAATTAATCGTTAATGGTGGGGTTTGCTTCAAACATCACCCGAGAGAAATCCCGGAAAATGTTGGCTTTACTTTCTAAGCCCTATTGTTGATTCTTGTCATGGAGTACACGTCATCCTTCTTCTACCTAAATAAATGCAGTTTAACCTAATTTTCAATTAATTTATAATTTCTTATGGTTTTTTTTTCCTCCTGTTAAAAAGCAAATAATTGGCATATACATCAAATTTAAAGTGAACAACAGTATTCGTAACATATATAGAAAATATGGTTTCAGATTTTACATTATAAATAATATATATATATATATATATATATATGGGACACTATATGCTGATACAATGAGGTCAGTATTTTATGATCTTGCATAGCTACTAATGAACCAATTAAGTTAGAGTGGGAACTCAATAATTTCAAGCTTACAAGCAAGTTCCCTCGGAATCAAGATTTGAAAAAATGGATGAGAATGTATTTTCAAATGTCATTCAATGATGATATACTTTTCTTATGAC